GCATTACAGTATGTAAACGTGCTACCAGACCACCTCTTGGAAGCTGCCGAAGACACTGTTTGGTAGATCTGCTATCCGATTGAGTTATTACGACTCCACTTATTAGGTATTCAAATGTTTTCAACAGTAATTTACATTTGGCAGACAGTCCATACATCAGGAGGTGGAAGTTTGTACAACTGTTAAAACTGGTTTGGGACCAGATTTTCGAACCGTTTTCAAAATTTTTACTCTCGTATCAATTTTGAGGACTTGATTCGTGTTTGTTGACAGTTTGTTAGGTACGAATAAAATTAATTCTTTATACGATTTCATATTGTGCTTTAAGGTACGTAATTAAACTTTTTGAATTGAGCGTTGCGTCAAGATTTTATAATGTTAAAGCGAGATTTCATAATGTACAGATTAAAATACTTTTAATATGTCCACAGGCAAAGAGGATAAAAATATATGTATATAGGTGAGGTGAGGCAACATGCACAAAACTTGTTGATCCCAACAAAGGACGTGTTATTAAGTTAAAAAACATTGTAGTTCCCCAGAAGTACGTACAAACCAAGTATAAATTGTTACAACGTAAATAATACACGTCTTTATAGTCTTGTTGATATTTTATTAATCTAAAACTGTTATGTTTTTCCACGTATGTGTCTCAAGTATTAATAATGATCAATTTATCAAAGCAGGGCTAACACAAACACAAGTCAAGTACAAGTAAAACTAAATCAACTCAAGTAGTCAAAATACGCAGTTACAAAGTCGCAAGAAATATTAATGGAGTTTCCACTGCAAATAAGGTTAAAGTAGGTCGTCAGCTGTACTTGGCCACCGCACTGCTCGTAATTCATCATAACAAACTGCGCTGATTTCGTTTCCCTTTGCGGCGACCACCGCGGAGTGTACAAGGATCGCAGCTGTTAGCAGTCGCCCTTGATCAGGGATGCTGTTTTGGCGGGAGAGTACGACAGGTGCCTAGCTATGCGATAGATAACTAGACCAACAGACATACCAGTGATGTAGATTTGGCGGGAGAGAAGGTAAATATTGCTACGGCTAGAGAGTCTAGAGCAATAGACGGATAGAAATACAAGTATGTTCGTACTTTTGGTTGGAAAGGACATAAGATAGATATACAGCTCGACTAGCACAATAGACCGGCTCATCGTCCACCTCGAGATGACGAATTTAGGCTTTGACCATACAGTCGTTACATCCAAATTTGCGCGTGGTATAATGCTCACTAAAGCTAGAGATATCCTAGATGCTCTGTCAAGTCTTTGCCAGAACACTGGGGTGCCACGTCTTGTGCAGTCACGGGTTGATACTTACCATGCTGTAGTCCGATGCCCGACAAGTATACCTAATCTGTGTCAGGCCCCTTCCAAACAGCCTAAATTTTCCCACGAGGTTTTTCATCTCTCGGTCCAACACTTAGCTAACCATACAGTGAAGGTATAGTGAAGATACCGTTTTGGTTGAAGAGAACGCCACTTGGGTGGCTACGCGGGAAAGGAGACTAGACCACTACAGTATACCAAAAACAAATCAAATTTGATGCAGTTTTGTTTAAAGAGTATCAATTATCCATCTATTCTATCCGGTGAAGGAGACTAGACCACTAGACCGACAAACAAATCAAATTTGATGCAGTTTGGTTGTGGAGAACTTCAATTGTCTAGCCACTCGGTAAAGGAGACTAGACCACTAGACCGACAGACAGACTGACCGGGTTAACCCGTCGGTCTAGTTGATATTCGCATTACACAATCATCGACCAGATTAGGAATAGAAGGAAAGATGTCGGCCAGAGAAAGTGTTATCTCGTGCAGGTTGTTCCTCGCCGGACCATCGGGTCAGTTTCTGCTGCGTTTATCGGTCATCTAGGATCTAGATATCGTAATAGACGCAGTGTGTAGTAGTATGTAAATGAATATTAAACTCTGCAGTGATTACAATTATCAACACTCTTTATCCCAGTGGCATAGGTATATTAATTAAAAACTTGGAACTTCGGTTAATTGATATCGATTCTTACTTCTAAGCTATAATTTTCGAGATACTTTAGAACATTTGTATGTGTGTTGAGCTTCACACTACCAAACATTTCCCTATTGTAATTACAATAAGCCTATTTGTAAGAAAATCCTGGCGAATAAAAACATGTACAGTATTTTTCTCTAGTTAATAAAATGATGCTACACACCAGCTCTACATTAAACCAGATCTTGTTATTTAGTTCTATGGTAAAAAAAACAATAGAGGATAAATAACGACTAAATTAATTTAAAACAACTAGGCAGTTAGAACACACTTTGAAACACTCTGTTTTTATGCTTCAGATTCCATCCAAACGTAATTAAAATTTACGCTTTCCCTTTGTAAAATCTTTACTTAAATTTGAATAGATGATTGTCTGGTAAGCCAAGTGGTTGAAGAGTTTACCTTCAAACTTCAAATCTAAAGGTCGCTGGTTAAATTCCAAGCGAGGTCTTTGTCAGACCCAGATTCCATTGGTCATTGGTCTATCTGCGGTAATGCTGTAACAAAAAGGCCAACGCTAGACAGTAGCAAGACCAGGATTTGTACCGTTCCCTTTCAAATCTTTAAAAACTTCAATGGCGTAGATAGACACGAGAAGAGAAGTATGAATTAAAATCAAATGCAATTCTTCAAACTCAGTACCATAACCAGTGAATGCTAGACAAAGTTTCAAAGAAATACAGTACGACATAGTTCCCTGTAAATAAAGCAATAACCTATAATTCAGTCGGTTATGTGCAAATGACAACACAGCCAATTGTTCATAGACAAATGAATGTGACAAGAGGACAAATTGCCCCTGTAGAGTAACGACTGGTAGGAAATCTATCGCACTTACCTTAATTATGTCGTTCATAAATACCATAGATAAAAGGTATTGCGTTTTCTATGTCTCAATAGCTCCTTTGATTTCACCAATCGCAATTGGCATTGCTTTCTTTGTAACTGCTGCCAGAAAATGGTTTATTAGTGAAAGGTAGCAATAGGAACACCTACTGCTCCACGTAGCCATTAAATTTTTGAGTAATAGTTTTGGGCTAGTAAGGCCGGGGCCACACTTGTAAATTTTCACCAGCGAGACTGTTTTTTCCGTTTTCACGTGCGACGCACGTGAAACAGTTTGACCGTGGCCACACTTGTCTTACGAGATAGATTTTTCGGGCAAACCAGTGAGACTGATAGAGCATGCCACACTGGCAACAAAAATCGTCCGTGCCCGTGTTCCGCCTCCCCCCCTCCACGTACTAAATCAGTCAGGTTAAAACTAGAAACGTCCGTGGAAAAAATTCAGCGAGATAAGATGAGTGTGTTCACTCCCATAAGCCGCAATGCCCCGCGACTAGTTTTACGTGCAACGCCCGTGGGATGTTAGTAGAGAATACACGTGCAATTCCGTTCCGCTGGTAAAACCAGCGAGACTGTCAAACGCGTTCACGGACGTTTTTACTCTAGTGTGGCCTGCCCCATATACCGTAATGTATCTCTCAAACCCACGGGTAACGCCCGTGGAAAAAAATCAGCGAGATAAGATGAGTGTGGCCCCGGCCTAAGGCAATTTGACTGAAAGTTTTGTTAAAATAAACTTTAGGTGAATAATAATGAGTTAACATAAAATGCAGGATGTTTTTTTTTTTTCTAGACGCAACTCAAATTAAACGTGTTGTGAGACACTGTTCAACGACAAAACAAGCTCATGCATTGGCATCCCTGTCTTCTTTACTTCATTTCCGATCAAATTATATGCATTATATACTTATTTATAAGGTTTAGCGTTATTGAGAACTTATTGTAAGTAAGACTCAACATTGCGTTTCCACAAGCTTAAAGAGAGAAATGTATTTTAGGTATTTTTACTACAAATCCGGTGTCTTTTAATTGTTCGCAAGTCAATAAATAATTAATTTGTACGATACTAACTAGAATAACACCTGGAAATTTAATTTCAAACATTTCTTGGAAACACAACGAATTACTTTCATTTTAACCTAATATTGTACAATGCATATTCTTTGAGATTGTGGCAACGACATTTTGAGTCTTATAACAATAAATTCCCAATTACACTAAACCTCAAAAAACCCTCATAAATAAGTATGCTACTGTAGTGATGAAGACAGGGATGCCAATACATGAGCTTGTTTTGTCGTTAAACCAGTGTTTCGCTTTCGCAGTACTTTTAATTTGGGTTGCGTTTAAAAATAAACACCCTCTATAATTCGATAAATTTCCTAGCGCATTGTTGTTGTATACTTGAGGGGCTTTGGATGTTGTGTGGCGTTAGTGGCTAATTTATTTATTCAAAAGTTTTATTTTCGGTTGTTTGTTTAAAATTTTTTCTGCTCGATACCTTTAGTGTTACTTAACGTTATACATATCTGTCATCATGTTCCGTTTCCTTTGACACCGTTTCACCAAGGCCCCATAGATACTGGTTATTTCCATCAACTCCGCCAGTCATAGAAATAACAAGAAGGCTTTGTGCGTTGCTGCATATTTCACCAGCAAAACTAGCGAAAGGCGTCAAGGTCGAAGAGCCGGTTTATGAAAATCATTCAGATCCATTTCAAACCGTAAAAGAATTTTCTAGAGCATGAAACTCGGGTTTCCCTCGCGACAGCTGGGCAGCGTCCACTGCTGACTCGCAATCTTCTTGTTCTTCTCTGATGTGCTTGTCATCCACTGCCTTTGTGATCAGCTGGGTAGTGGTTAGAGATCTACTAAATCCATGGACATGAGTGCGAGTAAACTTCTCATCCTATTGTGAAATCTGATGCTTGTTTTGATCATGTAGAACGCGGCTCGAGTGCGATTTCGACGAAATAATGAATTTACTGTATAGTACTTTTGAAAAATAGTCCCAGCATCACTTGGGGAATTCACATGTCTGTAATTTGGCAACCCTCTTGCAGTAAAATATAGTTTATGTATATCTATCTTGACACTCCATTGGTCTGTTACAGGGCTACTCCTGTCTGGACCTATCGAACGCTGGCATGAGGCACTCCGGGGTCTACTACCTCCAGATCCGAGGGACGACCTACTGGTTCCTCAAGGTCTTCTGTGAGCAAGAGGTGGCCGAGGGAGGATGGACGGTGAGACTTGTGGTTTATAAAGTTTTAATAAGCTTTGTAGGAACACCATTCCCCTCATTTGCCATGGCACTGGATGGTCAATACTGAAATAGGAATGTGGTACGATTCTGCAGAAGATGTATAGGCTTGATGTTCCACAATGTTATAAATGTGTAAAAGTCAGCATTATCTAGTCACAAGTTAATAATATTAAATTTACAAAAGTGTAAAGCTTAGTACACACATCTGTTATATTGACCCCATGGAGTATGCTTTTGCAATTCCTACAGGAAACGTATAACTTACCAAATTGATCATGTTCGTTGTAAAGTACATATTGTAATCATTTTTTAGTAGAACTAATAAGAGTAATAAGAATAAAGATCCGGAATGCCTGGATTAATTAAATGGGTGTTTGATCTTTCACGCTTTGAATTAAATTAAGTATTACACATTAGGCCAATCAAGACATTTCGGATCTTTATGAGGTATATAAATCGTAAAAACCTTTTACAAAAAAATCTTTTACTTATGTTCAAAATCGGGTTTTCTTAGTGAATTTAAACTTTTTTGTAATTAGATATCTCTGCATGAGATTGTTAGAGTTTTACCTAGTTCAAGAACAAAATTATAATTTAATTTTTTAGCCATTGACAGCATTTGCTGTTGTACTGTGCTGTTTTTTTTTTTCTACCAATTTATCAATCGTGCCACACTGGAGGTCACCATTTAGGCCTACTGCAAACTATGGCATCTTGAGAAAAGGATGAGATAATAGAACTAAAATAGTAGCTCACACTCAAAATTAGAGGCGCATTTATTTATGTTCTAATTGTGTAAAACCCCTAGGCACAGCTTCTCCATAACTCCATATTGAGTGTCTATTTCAGTAACCAACGGGTAATAGTCGCAGTAGTAATAAGAACTAATGTAGTATAGGCCTATGGACTGATGTAGTTTTTATGGTCTAACACAACAATTGTGTTATTAAATTATAATAAAGTTACAATGGACAACAATGGTGCTGGTTTTTAGTAAGTTATAACCTGTTAAAGTCAGATTTCGCAAAACGTCGGGCAATCTTAGCTCTCGTAACACTACATCTTTGGTGATTCACATTTCCACGACCAGTGCCTTCTGTTGTTTGACCTCTACAACAATGTGTAAATGGCAACCTAGATGATGGCAGTGGCAGTCATTTCCACAGTAATTGTCACGGCCGGAGTAACATTTGCTCGACCGTGACACTCGTCTTGTCCCACCGTGGCAATACCCAGCCATGTGGTGTGACAATGACTACTGTTAGTGATACAGTAGTTCTATGGTGACATGTTAGGTCACATTGTAAAAGGGTTATGGGTTACTGGGTTACAATAGATAGGAGTAATGGATTTTCTTACAACTAGTTGCTTTGGCTATCGATTAAGTTACTAACGTGTTGCCAGTTTTGCAATGAACATAGACTAAGCTGCTTACAGACTTTTTGTAAACCATAGGATATTTGATGTTAAATTGCAAATTATATTACCAAATACCAAAGCAGAAAAGCAATGTTCTCACTCACCATGTTCTATTTGTAATTAAAACGGCTACAGTTCGTATATGCTATATTTAATTGGGATGTCCACTTATCCAAAGGTAAATGCTAGTTTTGAAAGCCTGGAGCAAAGTCCTAGGGGGTTTTATAATCGGGAAAAGAGCGAAGATTTTGCAAGGATTGCAAAGATTTGCTTGAAATATTCTTCAGTTCACAGCGATCGTTGGACGGCTTGGTAGTAATGGATTAGGTACGCATAAAGGACAAACGTAGGCCTACATTCATTGAATTTTTCATATATAAACATTAAACCTACTTTCAGATATGTTGATCTCCGATTCAAGTAGTGTGCGTTTTGTTCTGTATTATCTTATCGTTTTACCAACATTTAACTTATTTCACTCTACTACAACTATTTAAACCATTCAATACTTGTGTAAAATATAACTGGCCGCTCATATTTCAACCTCAACCAAAGAGCAAAAGCGCAAGCTGTAAAATTAATGCTCAAGGATTATAAGAAAGAAAAGATTGGTTTTACTTGTGTACCTACTATATTTTTATGATTGTGTTAACCTGTTTAAGGTTTTTTAAATACAGAATTATTTACGCCACAAACTATTTTCTAAGCCATCTATTAAATATATATCTAAAATCAATCCGCCAAAGCCGCTTAACGGCTTATCTCAGTCGCTTTCAGGTTCGTTCCACTCCGCTGTGTCGATACTAATGGAGATTGCGCGTATTAATTAAACATATCGATATTTATGGAGTAAAATTGTACAGCTGGTGTTTAATTACAGATATTACACTGTTTGGTCGTCTCATAAAGTAAATAAGTCGCCTAATGACAGCTGATCTTATCGCGCCTCACTTCCTGATGACGGTTTGTTGGTTTTCAGCAAACACCTGTTCAGTGATTGAGCTCGGGTTTCGATATTAATATCCAGTTTTGCTTTCGCTGTTGAAAATTACTTTGCGAAACTGCGGGTGCGTGGTGGATGAAAGCAGGTAGAAAATTTCGAGAACTAAGAGTACTGTAGTATGTTTGGGCGAAATTTATCAGAGTAGTATAATGAACAGGTAATGATCGTACGTGAAAATTCAGTGTCGAAGTAACAATTTTGTCTATAAAGTGTGTACACTTGCAATACTCATACAATTGTAAAATATAAGGTTAGGGAATGTTCCTCGAGAGAGCTGTGAACGACTGTTTTCTTGCATGGCTACCTGTTTATTTCGTTGTAGGCCTAACAATTGATTGAAATAATACAGAAAATATAAGATGTACACAAAAAAATGTTACCGGTAAACGTTTGGTGAAGTGGTCATCTGTTTGATCCAGTAAACTCACTAGTTGAAGTGGTGGTTGCGTAGCTTTAAAAATCTGTTTTAAACTACTTCTTTTGAATCAAATGAATGTTTAGTAGTATATTTACCAGTATATTTTTTTTATTTTTGACATCACTACTCAATACATGGTTAGTTTTCAGTAATACTATTTGGTAGTTTTTTACTCGTGTTACATACAGAATTTATTAACTTATGACTTTATAAATTGCATCTTCGAACTCAAAATTGGTACTTTTAACTTTTAAAAACACAGAATCGAGAAGTAATTTATTCAAAATTATAATTTAACTAAGCATTTAAGGTACTGTCGTAGAAGACGAAGACGATACGAGAATAAGAGACCAGTTTGTCCAAATTAGTTTACATTACACCGGACACACGAATCTGTTTAGTCATTCTTCAGTCTCTTTCAGCGCCGTGCAACACAGACTACCGCAATACACCAAAGCAACGCGTATCGACGTTTTATGCTGCAGTTAGTAGTTTAACTCTGCCAGTTCAGTAGGGGATCTAAAATCGGAAAACCTGATTTATTTTGAAATGTGGTGATTCAACGTATATTTAGGTATATTGAAGTATACCTTGACAAGAGACAATCATTAATCAAGCTAAGAATCAATCAGAAAAGCTTATTAGTGGATTAAGATATTTACCACCTCTTATTAGGTTACACAACTATTTAAAATCTAAAGCTTCACACACTTATTGAATCTCATGAGCCATCATAACATGAAGAAATAGTCTGATTTTCTTCGTCTCCAAATTTCTATTATTCTGCTTCAGTCTCCTCTGTAATGTGTGCTCTTAAAAATCCCTATCAATTGAACCTAATTTCCCCCTCTATGACTCGTACAAATATCTTTTTAGCGAATTTCCCATATAGGGAATAAGCTATTACCGTAGTACTCATGGTAAGACCTGGACCCGGGACCGATTTTTTTTTCGTTTTGAGGTCCCTAGAGGCCAAAAACACCATCCGTTCAAATTCATATATATATATATATATTTATATATATATTTATATATATATTTATATATATATATATGTGTCCGTTAGCGCGATAACTCGAGCAAAAATGATCCGATTTTGATGAAATTTGGTACAAACGTGTAAACCTACGTTTATTCGAACGAGTTCGCGAACCAGCATGATCGGACCATGGGAACAGGGGTTTATGGGGGCTTTTATGGGGTAAAAATGGGTTTTTCCTATTTTTGACCCAAAAAACATAAAATTTTGAAATTTCTTTCCAAACTATTTTGTAGAGCTTAAAAAAACAAATAATTTAGTATATTGAAGCGTTATAATGCGCCTATTGGTTACGGAGAAAATTCCAAAAAATTGTTAATTTAAAATTCCCATGTTATTCTTATGGAGAATAAGTAAACCGTTGTAGTGTGCTTGTTTATTAACATATTTTGCCCAAATTTGGAAAATGTTTTTATTTCTTACTAACTATTAACATTTTACATAAAAAAACACTTTTACCCTCCCTGTTGCAGCAAACCTAAGTATGTGTTAAACTGATTCTATTTAAATAGGGAATAAATGTGATATTTTTAAGGAGACATTTTAGTCTAAATCCAATCAGGCAAATGGAAATTCGCTTAGTCTGCAGGTTTGCTGCGGCGGGGGTATTAGCCATTTCCCTCTAAAACTGATGATGGAGAACGAACATTAATAACGCTAACAAATTGCTATCAATACATATAAAATATTTATAAAACGCAGTAAAGGTAAAGGTGTTTACTCGCTGGTAGAATGTTCAAGCCGCCCCAGTCCTCTACGCTTATTCGCCACATCTTTCCACATAGGCCTATATATTTTTTAGTCTTGCTTGTTTGTATAATTTATTATATGAATACTACTATGGATTATGTATATAACAAAATGAATAATGTTCTTTTTTTATGAGAATCATGTTGCACTATTCCATTAGGATTCACAGATCTATCTTTTGTATTTTTTTATGTTATAAGTAATTATTTTTAGATGCTTACATCAAGATAGTTTTTGTTAGTTGTTACATAACCGACTGAACACAGTAGTTACATGTGTACTCCTGGAGTAAAATACTATCTTTTTTTATCTGAGCTAACAAGTTCAAAGTATATCTCACTCTTCTCTTTTCTCTTTCAGGTAATCCAAAGGCGAGACGACTTGGGAGAACCAAGAGAGAATTTCAACAGGGATTGGGCAGACTACAAGAATGGCTTTGGAGACCCTGCTAAGGAGTTCTGGATGGGCAATGAGAACATCTACATGTTAACCAACAACGAGGAATATGTCCTAAGGATAGAGCTGGAGGACTTTGAGGGAAACAAAAGGTGATTTATCAAACTTATCGACAATTTTTACTTACCGAAATGTAACTTTACACTCACTCACTCCTGTGGCCACTCAAATTTAAGATGATTTTAGGCCTTGACATCAGGTTGCCTCAAGACTCCCCTGTCCTCCACCTCCCCCATACGATAATCCCCACTTCTCCCCCAATTCGTCTTACATCTCCAGCCACTAGGTCACTCCATCTTCATCTTGGTCTTCCTCCTGGTCAACCTCTCCACACCATTGTTGTTGCACCCTCCTCTCTTCTTCTCACAAGACCAAGCCACCTAATTCTCCTTCTTATCATCGGCAATATATTTGCCTTCCTGTACAGGTTCCTGAGTTCTATTTTTACAATAGTCTCCAAACCCCCTATTCAAATATTTGTCTATATATCCCTCTCAATATTTTATTTTCTAGCATAGATCTGTTGGAGACTTTGGATATGTTTTGTTAATGACACTAAATGAGAAATGAAATGATTATTGCTCATAAAAGAAAAATATAAAACCCCTATAAAAATGTGTGTTGTATGAAGAAATTTAAGGCAAGTATGAAAAGTATACAATTTAAAAATGATATAGAGTAAGATTATCTTCACAAATGTGTCCTTTGTAGAAGCAAGTGTTTACAAAGTTGTTGACAGCTTTTAAATTGTTTGTTCAAAACTATTACCATCTACATTGTACTACTATTACATTTTAAATGTGTAATTTTCAAAAATATGGAAATACTAGCCTGCAGACATGTTTCTTACTAGAAAGATATAACAACATTTATACAATTTTTATCACTGATTTCATAAGTAAACTTACTGTGCCTTACTATTTTAAATCGACAAAATAGGCATAGCTCTAGAATTTCTACATAGGTCTAGAAAATCCAAGATTACCTAAGCAAAACAGGTAGTTTTGCTTGTCTTGAAGTCTTGTTTTGAAGTCTTGGTTTTCATTTTAATTAATTTAAAATAGGTACCAATTACGTCCCAGCTAAGAATTTATTTTAATAATGTAAAAAACTATCAAATTATATAAAATAGTATATAACATTGTTAAGTTCAAGCGCTTTTCTCTACAAACACAATACGGTATGAAATGCTAAAAAAATTTAAAAAATATTATTAATTTTAGTACAGTATTAGGACAACGTTAACATACACAATTATTGAAGAGAATTAGTTGAACAAATTATATGAAAGCTTAAAATCATAACCACTAAAACATGTTTTTGTTGTTAAAAGGTACGCCCAGTATTCTCACTTCAAGATCTACTCGGAAGCCGAGTACTACAAGTTGGAGATTGACGGATACGAAGGCAACGCTGGCGATTCACTCAATGATCCTTGGTACGGAAGCAACAACAGCCCCTTCTCCACCTATAACAGGTATGTAGAGTGTTTCAATGTCTAAGGATGGATTTTAGAAAGTAAGCATTTCAATGTTTATTTCTGTTAGTTTGAGTACGGTGCGTATGGTTCAAACAGGACAGGACTTGAATTCATTCATCTTACCATAGACTAAGCAACACAAGTAGACTTCTCATCCCATTGTAAATTTTGAAGCTTGTTTTTCGTTTCTAGTTCATGTATGTTAACACTTTTCACTAGTGTAGACGAATTTTTGTTTCTATTATTTTAGGGTTATTTTCATGATTTGTGCTTTACTGTTTGGTTATATAATTAGGAGACCAGTTATTGTTTATGATTTGATCGTTTTATTTGGTTAAACAAGGTTTTTAATGACTGAAAGAAATAAGAAGAAACAAATAATTTTAAAAAACACTACCTCTACAATGTTACACACAGAACTACAGTATAACAATGAAATTGGATTAAGCTGTTCCAATATAAGGATGACAAAACTACCAAGGGAGTATGTTTTATCTACGATCTTACTCTACAAACTTGGTCTTCAGGGTACAATGCAGAAGAAAAAGTTTGTAATGTTAGTGTTAGTGACTTGGAAGCCTTAACATGATGAAAAATTAGTACCATGTTCATAATTTTTTCTCTCTCAATCCATTCCTACCGTTCCCTTCCCTTTTTAACTGCTCATTCAGGGTCCTTTTCCACTTCTTAGTCTTCCAACCCCTCTTATTCCAGCAGATGAGTCATTGGACGATGGGCTAAAGTTTAACTGAGTCAACTGTACTGAGACATACTCTCATACATATAGAATGATTAATGAAGTCATTGGTAAAGCATTGAGTGAGACTCTCACGCCTATGTTTTTTGCAGAGACAATGATCGGTCCAGCTTGAACTGTGCCTCCATGCTGAAGGGAGGCTGGTGGTGGAAGTCTTGCGGTCGAGGACTCAACGGTCTTTACCTCAACGATCCTCAGGACATCACAGCAAGACAAGGTCGGCAAAGTGTACTTGCGTAGGGTTAGATGAGATTCACATACTCGGTGTTCTGGGTGGCTGAGTAATCATACTCCCATGATAACTTGAAAATACAGTAGAACTCAAATTAATCTTAACTCCAATCATCTGAATCGCCAAGTATTCAGATTACCTCAAGGATTGTGAAATAAATTAATTCAGCCAGCAAAATTAAGTGAACTGCAGTTTTTGCCGATTGCATTAGTTTGGTTGGATATTTTAATGTGTACCAATTTTGTGTCCATCATGTAAAATGTCTATTGTTTTGACGTATCCATGGACGGGCGATGAGCCTAGTGCCATTGTATTAATTTCTTATCGAATCATCCAAATGTTGGACTATCCATGAATTGATCTGGATAATTGGAGTTTTACTGTAGTTGGTTTGATACTGTAAAAACTAGGTTATTTTAGATAATATAAAAATCAACCCAGATTGGGTAGAATTCTCAAAAAATTTCCCTCTGAGTAAAATTCTCTCCTCGATCATTGGGTTTATACAGGGTGTTTTTTTAAAAACTTGCATCTTTATTTATGTAAAAACCGCAATAGATAGAAATATGCAGTTTGCGGGAATCATCTATTGACGTAGGGGGACCAATTGTTTTGAATTCAACGTTACATTCACATTCCCCCCCTATCCCCCCTGCCCCCAACTTAATTTTTTTAAATAGCAAGGTACCCCTTGTGACATATCAAATAAAAGAGCATGAAAAAAGAAAATTTTTGATGAAAAAAAATTGAAAATCGGTTCATAAATTTGTGAGATATTTCCCCCCTCACCCCCCCGGAACTTAATTTTTTTTTAATAGCAAAGTACCCCTTGTGACATATCAAATGAAAGAGCATGAAAAAAGAAAAATTTTGGCGAAATTTATTTTTTATTTGATATGTCACAAGGGCGGGTACCTTGCTATTAAAAAACAAGTTATGGGTAGGGGAAAAGGGGGGTGATTATCTCACAAATTCATGAGCCGATTTTAAATTTTTTTCACCAAAAATTTTCTTTTTTCATGCTCTTTCATTTGATATGTCACAAGGGGTACTTTGCTATTAAAAAAAAATTAAGTTCCGGGGGGGGGTGAGGGGGGGAATATCTCACAAATTTATGAACCAATTTTCAATTTTTTTTCATCAAACATTTTCTATTTTTATGCTCTTTTATTTGATATGTCACAAGGGGTACCTTGCTATTTAAAAAAAATAAGTTGGGGGCAGGGAGGGATAGGGGGGGAATGTGAATGTAACGTTGAATTCAAAACAATTGGTCCCCCTACGTCAATAGATGATTCCCGCAAACTGCATATTTCTATCTATTGCGGTTTTTACATAAATAAAGATGCAAGTTTAAAAAAAACACCCTGTATAAATGTTCCTAGACTCCTGGGTAAAAAAGCTATAGTATTAGTCGTCAGCAAAGCTACAAAAGATACCTCACTATAGTCTACAATAATCTTTCACTTATATTTGTAGATAAAAATATGCAACTAAATTTCATTGTCTCGTTGTAGTAGTAGTAATGAATATAAAAATAAGTAAAAATTATTAAGAAAAATAACAAATACCTATGCTAAAGTAGCTTTGGAAGTTTGTGGAAGGCCGTACACTTTTACGGATAACCCTCGTAACATACATAGGCCTACCAACTCCCACGGAAGAGGAAAAAATCTCCATGGGAATCCTATGATTGTTCATCTCGATAAAAAAGTAATTTAAAGTGTGGGTGTTTTTGTTGTTGTTGTTATTTAAAAAAAAAACAAGTATTGATTTTATTTCATTCACACAAAATGTTACGATCTTTCTCATGTTTCAGGTATCGTCTGGTTCAGATGGAGAGGATGGGATTACACACTGAAGAAGGCGATGATGATGATCAAACCTAAAGGGTCCATCAATCCAACATAGGCCTTAGTTTTACACCGTAGTTAAATAAATGAAGCCCAAACCGAGACTAAGGTCCCATCGAAATTTTAATGTTTACACTGTAAAAAAATACAAAAAAATTTAATGTAATATTCCACTCGTTCAGTAAAGTAAAAGACATTGTACACCAATTACAACTTATAAAACACCCCTTTTTGGATAGAGCAATCCCATTTATCATTTACAAGCTTGCCAAAGGGGTTGCTCTATTTCCGAAAGGCATTCCAAAGTGTTTTTGAGTTTGTACAGAACAGCTCTAGACAAGGGCTGCATTTAACTTTGGTCAATTCTTCTGTTTACAGTGTTTTTTCAACTGAAAAAAAAACTAAGTGTCATATAAAAATTCTAAATTGTTAAATATTTTTAACCTTTTGCTAAAGCTGCATGGATCAGTTTAAATTGTGTTGAATCACAATCGATAAAAGTATAAGAACTGTATAAGTGAACAATGTTTGGTGCATTTTTTTTTTTTAAATTGGTCAATTTATTCTTAACAATGCCAACTGACATTAAAAGTAAGTTTAAATTTATGATTTAAATTCAAAACCTTTGCACTAACTATAATTCAAACATTTTTTTGAAATTTTATTAATGAAATGCTATTATACTTGATCAGGCTTAAGAGAACAACTACAAATTCCAAATTTGTGTTTGAAAAATAATAATCACACCGTTTGATGGACACTCAAAGTGGAGGGAACGCTTAAAATATTGTCTCAACAATTCTATATTGATTATGTACAGGAAGTGTATGAAACCAGAAATTATTTTGTAGGTATAAGAGATTGTACATATTATAAGCACAAACTAAAATCTGTGCCAAGAGTACTGGAGCTGTGTTTGAGTCTGTTAAAGACCAACTTGAAACCCCGGTAAAACTATAAATTAGGTTAGGATTACTTGATAAGGAAAGAGAGCTATCATAATACTATCCTAAATCATTCAAATTTTAAACCAGTTTGTATTAAACTTTCATTAAATTTCCTTTTTATTACCATTCTGCTGACCTACATTACACATATATTACTAACTACAATCGGTTGATAACTATTTTAAGATGATATACACTTGTAGGATGATTTCTTCTAGTTGTTTCATCTCACAAAATTTTCTAATTTTTATTGGGTTGCTTTTATATTCTGTTCTTCTCTAGCTAAATATTGGTATTTTTAAGTAACATACGGTATCGACATCTTTTGGCTACAATATCACAATTTAACTGTAGGACATTAGCTTAAGATATCCTGCAGTATGTATTTTTAGAATTCTGATCTTAGATATCTGATATTTTAGGTATTTTACCATGTTAAGTTACGTTTTACTGTTTTCAAAACCCAAGCATGGACGTTTAAACCTCCAGCAATTTTTAACTTTGAATGCCACTTAAATTTATTTACTGTTCATTTTCATTTTAATATACTTATTTTTCACAATTATTTAACCTAAATAATAAGTTGAAATCCTTTAATTTAATCATATAAATTTTAGTTATCTTGCTGATTATGATAGCTTTATGTATTATTATTTATTACGTTTTCTTTTTGTATATTCAACATCATTCCATTCACGCCATTGTTACCTTCGTCTTCTGTCAATCCTTTGCATTGTGGAGTGGTTAGCGGAAGAACCTTAAATCCATGTGTACCTAATTAGTGATTAATCATTAATATGTATAGTTTTGGGGATAATGTAAATAGAGTATGTAATGTATAAAGACTATTGATTTTGTACAAGTGTTTGTCTTCTTTACCCATCCTTTATCCTGGTGAATCTAAAAATGGGCGAATAGTGTGGCTGCACTCACTGAGAAGAAAGGTGCAGGGGATACGGTACTGTATCTAGTAGTACATTTTTCGTATCTGTTTCTAACAAGTGAGCAATAGTAAAAACTTAAAAGGACCTAACTTAAGATTGGAAAAAGAAAAGTCAAAAAGTGACTTTAAGTTGAGAGTGAGATTGGCAATAAAATTCCTAATATTATAGAAACATATTGCAAAAAAATAGAAAATGTTACAAAGATTACCTACCTATGTTTGAACAATGCTTGTGCTGTCGATTTTTCGATACAATTACACCGTTATCCTGTAAGGGCTCATAGAAAAAAATGTGTCAAGGGCTTATAGGCCGTCCAACATTTAAATTTGTTTGAAAATATCACTTTTGGAAATTTTACCGCTAAATTTAAGATCACATATTCGAGTTATATTTGAAGTCACCATCTTAGTTTCTTAGAGGGTTTAGACACGGTCACTTTTAAATTCAGGCCGCGCGGCCAAGTAGAATTAGCAATGCCACTAGTATAAGTGCTGCTAGAGAAAGACGTCCCATGAGCTAACATGGCAGACAGGTTATACACGCTCATTTAATCAGGTATATTAATTTAAAATTACGAATACAAAATCATTAGAAGATTTGAAATGAAAAAAGTGTTCTAAATAAAAACAATATCAATTGAACATTTATTTCTGTACATAAAAAATCGAGTCAATATTTTCATAGCCCTGTAACATTGTTTTCAAATTCTAAAAAACACACAAACGCATTAGGTGCCACCAAACAAAACAGCTGTAAACAGCACTGACAGTGTTCCTATTCGAAGGCCGCGGCCTGGAGTTTAATGTGATCGTGGTTTATATCATATCGCCATACCCTACAAATTCTAGTAACTTTCAATGTCATTTACCAACCATAAGAACATGAAGCATATTTAATTTTTCTTGAGGGTGGTAGGGTAGAATAAAAAATGTAACTCTTAAGGATGTTCCGGGGGTTTTCGTCCGAGACAAAGAACCGTGCCAAATTCCAATGCCCTTTTTTGTAGGCCTACCTACATCTATATTATAAAAGTAGTGTATAATTTGTATCCCCCCCCCTTAGCGAATGAGTTACATCAGCGGCTGTGTAATTTTTCCCCACTTTCCTCCTCTCCATATCTCTATTAAGTAATAATTCTAGCAAAAAGGTATACAGGAGCATTTTGTACAGCTTTATTACGTAGCTCATTTTTACTTATGACGAATGTTTTTCTGGAGGCTATAGTTTTTAGAGATATTTAAGGGAAAGGGACCAATTCAGCCAACCCCCTTAGATGAAAAGAGGCACGGCCGCCTTTAACCACGGCCGCCTTAAACTCCAGGCCGCGGCCTTCGAACTGGCAACGTCGCAAGTGGTGCCGTAACAGCTGTTGTGTTTGGAAGCAGCTAATGGTATTTGTGTATTTACGAGAGATTTGTTACTGGACTATGACAATATTGACTCTGCTTAAAAATGTTCAGGGTATGGATTTTAATTCATACTGCTTCGGTTTTCAATTCTGTATGTTTTATTTTCAATATTTTAATAAATTTATGTTCATTAATTTAAATTTAAATCAATAAAGTGCGAATTAATGAGCCGATGTCACCTGTCTGCCATGTTATCTTATGGGACGTCTGTTCTGAACAACACCACTTGCGATGTTGCCAATTCTACCAGGCCGCGGCCTGTAGTTAAAGGCAGCCGTGCTTTAACTCCAGGCGCGGCCTTCGAATTGGCAACGTCGCAAGTGGTGTTGTAACAGCTGTTTAGTTTGGCAGCAGCTAATGGTATTCGTGTATTTACGAAAGCTTGGTTACTGGACTATGACAATATTGACTCCCCTTTAAAAGTACAAACATTGATTTTCTATTTAAATATTGTTTTTGTTTTCAATCCTGTATGTTTTATTTTCAATCTTTCAATTAATTTATGTTCATAAATTTTAATTTTAATGAATAATACGCGAAATAATGAGCTGATGTCTCCTGTCTGCTATGTTAACTAATGGGACGTCTGGCGCTAGACAACACCACTTGCGACGTTGCCAATTCTACCAGGCCGTGGCCTGGAGTTAAAGACGGCCGTGAAAGAGGATTATAAATTTAATAAAATACTTATCATTGACTTAGGGCTCAGAGTAATAAAACAAATTTTGTTGTTTTATTACTCTGAGCTTAGGGGAAGCAACCACAAATGGCACAAATAGTGTATCTCGAAGCTACATGGGTTTCATAGCCGTAGCATAGGCATTCATGACATAGCCTACTGGAAAAAAATTCAAAAAAATTAAAATTAAAATATATTTTGAGGTTATTATACTACTACTACTTTGTTTATTAAGTTAAAGTTAAACAATATTTCTGATCTGTTTTGTTTTGGCTTTAGTTTAGACTTTAGTAGGCCTACATTTTATTTACACCAAAATCCAACTAAACAAGTCCTGCATTGTGTAAAACGATCTATAAGTTACTACTGTTACTAGTTACTAACTACTCTCTTGTGGTAGAGTAATGTCAAATCAGAGTTTACACAAACTTAAGGATTTTTCATGTGAAGTGAAAGAAAACATAGAGATTAATGACAAAAACTGCGTTCTTAATTTCAAAGTAAGTTGGGTAATTCCAATGTAACTTAATTCAATTTTCATCAAGATTAAGCATTAGTAGTGTACTTGTGGGGTCTTTAGTAATAGACTAACTTTAACTTAGGGTATCGTTATCTTTTATTAACTTACAAGAAGAAATTCAATTTTGGGTTCTCATCGGATTAGCCTGATAGGCTATAAGTTACCCACATAGCCTAAAAGACAAAAGTTAAGTAATTAACACAATCAAGTTATATAACTTATAGGCTAGCCTACAGACATGTTAGCTAGTTCTACTTGCAAGTATAGGCCAATTTGTAGTACCTACTGTAAGCCTAGTGCCCAATTTCTAAGCCTAGCCTAGGCCCTAAGTTAAACCAAGACTGCAAAAATGGGTGATGATAACATTGGATACAACCTTAGGTCTAAGTCAAAACAGAGATCAAAAGCTAACCTAGAGGCACCTAATGAAACTGCCTCAAGTCAACACAACTCGGATGTATTTACCCTTTTCAAGAAGTTCAATATTCGATATTTCTGGGGTCGCCTGTCTGGTGTTAAATTAGAATACAGCAATCGTCTTAAAAGAAGTGCTGGTGTGTGCATATCTCGACCCAAAGATAACGATTGCCGTATCCGTCTAAGTCACCCGCTTTTGAGTTTGAGGCCTCAAAGTGACCTTGTTGATACCCTCCTTCATGAAATGATTCATGCATATTTGTTTCTGACAAAGACTCGTGATTCTGGTAGTCATGGACCAGAGTTCCATAAGCACATGAACCGTATTAATAAGAAAGCGGGCACAAATATAACTGTTTATCACACTTTTCACTCTGAAGTTGAACATTATCAGCAACACTGGTGGAGGTGCAATGGCCGCTGTGTAAATTGGGCTCCATTTTTTGGCCGGGTTAAAAGATCAACAAATAAGCCCCCTGGTCAATCAGATGTTTGGTGGCAAGATCATTTGATACGTTGTGGAGGTCAATTCATAAAAATCAGAGAACCGATAGAATTTACTCAGAGGAGATTCAAAGGCTTATTCGGGTCTGATTTAGAAACAGTCATGAGAATAAACAGCAATCTTTGTATTTTTGAAGAAATGTTTCAAAAGGCTCATTTCCAGAATTTAAGGCAAATAAATAGACCAACAGCATATGTTGATTTAACCTCCAAACCTAGAAATATTTCTGGATTCATTGATTTAACATCTGAAACAATAGACAATAATCCATCAGGATTATCTCAACCTTGTCCAATATGTTCCATGAATATCTCATGTGATCTTTCAGTCCACGTAACTGAATGTTTGAAAAATTCTGGTGTATTAAATATACTAAACGAAACCATGTCACCATATGATAGACCTACATGTTCCGATTCAACCAGTGAAAACCCAAACAGTGGCTCCACAAAAACATGTCCACTGTGTAACGTACAAGTCCTTAATATTCAAACTCATTTAGAAAATGGATGTTTGCATAACTCAGGTGTTGTCGACGATTTCAACAATCCCTTTGAGTTAGACGATTGTGAATACTCTGAAGATTCATCATTTGAAATTTGTTGTGTTTCAAACTATAACAACATTATGTCAGATTGTATTCATCCCAAAGAGTTAGAGCGCCGTCCTTCAGAAGTATGTCCAATGTGTAACAGAGAACTAACAACAGACATTAAATCTCATCTAGAAAACGGATGTTTAAATAGCTCAGGATTTTTTGATGATCTTGATTGCCCCTTTAATGTTAAAGATAGTGAATCTTCTGAGGATTTTTCGAATACAATTTCCAAAATTCGTGATTGCCGTTCCTTAGAAATATGCCCAATGTGTAACAGAGAATTAAGAACAGACATTAAATCTCATTTAGAAAACGGATGTTTAAATGACTCAGGAATTTTGGAAGAGCTTGATTGTCCCTTTGATGTTAAAGATAGTGAATCTTCTGAGGAATTATCAAATACAATTGTCAAAATTTGTGAGTGCCACTCTTCAGAAGTATGCCCAATGTGTAATAGAAAACTAACAACAGACATTAAATCTCATCTAGAAAACGGATGTTTAAATGGCTCAGGATTTTTTGATGATCTTGATTGCCCCTTTAATGTTAAAGATAGTGAATCTTCTGAGGAATTATCAAATACAATCGCCAAAATTCATGAGTGCCGTTCTTCAGAAATATGCCCAATGTGTAACAGAGAATTAACAACTGACATTAAATCTCATTTAGAAAACGGGTGTTTAAATGACTCAGGAATCTTTGATATTCTTGATTGCCCCTTTGACGTTAAAGATAGTGAATCTTCTGAGGAATCAATCGCCAAAATTC